AGGGCTGCTCACCACATCTCCCCAGGCAGAAAGTACAAGTCAGAGAGGTCAGGAACCTTGTCCCAGGACACCCAGCTAAAAGTGACTGAGCTGGGAGTTTACTGCTTACCTCTCAGATCCCCAAAGCCCTTGCTTTTTCCTACGACTTCATCTTAGGTCTTGCAGGAAAATGGAAATGGGGGTGGAGAGAACAATCAGGTCGTTGGACACAACGTGGTTAGGATGTTTCCCCATTAAATACCACTCACTGCTTTAGAATTAGAGTTCTGTGCCCCTTTGCATGGGAAGGGGGTGCAGCTTCAGGAAAGGGAGAAGTGGGGGAAGAACCCTCTCCTCTCATACTTTTGTTGGGTAAAACACAAACTGATACCATCCACTGCGCCAGCGATGGACTCAGCCAGCACTGAGATACGTTTTCGGTTATAGAAGGTGTTACCTACGTGTCACAATTACAGAACCTCAGCCTTAGACACTTAGAGCCCATGGAGTGTAGCCTTCCTCCAGGTGCTCGGGTCCTTCTATAACAGCTTAATTTAAACTGCAGTGATTTGCATTTCCCATCTGGGAACGAAGCCTGATGCTCATGATGACAGCGCCAGCCTGCCCGCCCGGGTGGCTGCCCCCATCTGCCCCCTCGCACTGCCCTCCTCTCAGCTGCAGCTGCTCACAGGTGCTGCGCGGACTCCATCCAGGAGGGAGGCTCGGGTTCACGCAGAATGTTTTCTAACTCACCTAAGGAAGGTGGAGGTGGACGCGGCCGTAGCGTGTTAAAAAAAAAAAACAAAACTGAGTTTCTAGATAAGAATAATGCTGAAGCCATTTGAAAAGCTTCAGGCTCATGAGCAAGCTGCGTAGAGGATGCATTGATAGCTTGGCACAACTATTTTATGCTGTTTATTTTAATTATTTTCCTTTCAAAATGCTGCCCCTTTAATTTTGAGTATGCTATCATCAGCTGATGTAGTCACCATTTGATCTAAGTTTAATTACTTGTTTAGATCCGTTCTTATTCCGTGGAGGATTTAAGATGATTTTTATCTAAATTTTGTAGAAAAGTGGCTGTCTCTGCAGTCCCCTACAGATTTATAATCCTACAGTTCTGTATCTTTTAAATTAGAAACTCCATGACACTTTAAGCTTTAAATGAACGCTGTTTAAAGCATTTTAAAAGGATGCAGCTATTTTTCTCTTTGGAATCTGTGTTTTCTGCGCTCCTTCCTTCCTCCCCCACACCTGCTTTAGCAGCAGCCCTCAGTGGTGCCTCCGTCTTCCCGCCTGGCCTCTGCTCCTTTTCTTTGCTTTTCAAACCCAACAGGAGTTCCTTTCTCATTCGTTTTCTTTTTGTCGGTCTTTCTTTCTCCACCACTAGAAGAAAAAGTTGAGTTAAGAAAGTGCAACATCAGGCCGGCCCGGTGGCGCACTGGAGAGTGTGCCGCTTGGGAGTGTGGCCGCGCTCCCGCCGAGGGTTCGGATCCCATGTGGAGACCGGTTCCCGCTCACTGGCTGAGCGTGGTGCGGGCGCAACACTGAGGGTTGCGATCCCGTTGCCGGTCCCCGGTGCGGGCGCGACACCGAGGGTTGTGATCCCGTTACAGGTCAGTAAAAAAAGACAAAGGAAAAAAAAAAAAAGTGCAACATACTGCCAGTCCGTCTGTCTCCTCGCCCTGACAGCCCTCGTCTTTCCCCCTGCACTGGGAAGAAGCAGATAAGAGTGCACCGTGGACTGGTGGCCTCTGTCAGAGGAAGGTTTTCCACCCTTCTGCTAGGAAGGGAGGGCACCACCCTTCTCGCTGTTGTGGAGCTTCTTCAGGAGATGAAGTGCAGGGCAAGTTCCAGAAAACTTCGAGTTACCTTAGTATCCAAACTGCGGCTTCCTTTACAAACCACCCCACGAAGACTTTCCTTAGAGTCTTACTATCTTTTGTAACCCCTGAAGAGGGCATTTAATCCCTAATGCAGGGCTCATGCCTTAGCAATATTAAGTGCTCAGAAGGATAGAGATTCTGAGATTTGCTTTGTGCATTTTTCAGCATCTCAACAAAGTATAGCCCGTAGTAGAAAAGCAAGGAGAAAAATAGTGGAAGTGCTAAAGATGAAATTGCACCTGACATGCGGCTGTGGGTGGTTTTGCTGAGAAAAGCAGAGAAAGAATAAAGGAGAGCTCTTTTTTGTTGCTAGAAACTGTCTGTGCCTCAGCATCCATCAAGGGGCTTAGGAGTGTGCAGGCCTGCTGCAGGAAAGATGGCTGCAGAGAGAGTTCTGTGTGCACACGGAGGAGGGCTGGAGAGTGGAGGGCAGGGTTGGCTGCCGTCTCTGAGAACCCAGGGAAGAGCCAGGGTCACACTGACCAGTCTGTGCTGGTCACCAGTGTTCACATGGGGCAGGGAGCCAAGGGGCTGCCTCCGCTCCATTCCAAGGAGGAGTCAGAGAGTTCCAAGAGCAGGCACAGTGAGCTCTGGGACCAGGAGGGAAGTGAGCGTGGGGCAGAGTCCACAGAAGCAGTGGCCCACGCCGTCAGTGAGCCCAGTCCTATAAGTGTCAAGCGGCCAGAGCACACACCTCTGGCTACCGCAAGAAGCAGGTCAGATGCCCTTAAGGGAGAGGGTGTGGGGCCCATGCAGAAGATTTGCCTTTGCAAGAGAACTAACTGCTCTCCACCTTTGGTGCACACAGGAATTTTGCAAAACGGTGGTGGATAAGATAGACTGCTCAGGCCCTGTGTCTACACAGGTGTCCCTTCTGCATGAAAGATATAGAAGGTAAAGCACAGGTGGCACCACCCTGGCAGTGGTCCTGAAGAGACAGTCCCCTGCCTCATGTGCAGATGCAGCAAGGCCTGTTTGTGGCACAGGCAGACACTGGGCCGGGGACCTGGGGAGGAGCAGCTGTTTGGAGTTAAGACCTGCCCAACTCATTCTGTCATTAGCAGTTCATACCCTGACAGTCGTGACAGTGGGTTAGGCGATTATAGGCCAGCACATACACCTATACGCAAGTGGATGTGCACGCATGTGTGTATGAAGACGTATGTGCAGTGCTCACAGGCCCCGCGTGCACACACAGCCTTCACTCTGTGTTCAGTTTCTTCACCTCGTTGTTTCCCAGTACGAGGGTACTTCAAAAACATCATGGAAAGATTGGTATTTCAGTTGCATTTTTCCGAGAACTTTTTTTTTTTTTTTTTCCTTTTTGTCTTTTTTCGTGACCAGCAACGGATCACAACCCTCAGTGTCGCGCCTGTACCGGACCGGGACCGGCAACGGGATTGCAACCCTCGGTGTTGCGCCCTCACCTGGCTCAGCCAGTGAGCAGCTGGTCTGTATGTGGGATCCGAACCCTCGGCGGGAGACGGCGCACTGTAGCAGTACGCCACTGGGCCGGCCCTCCGAGAACTTTTTGAAGCACCCTCGTTAGGAAAAAGAAAGTAGTACTTGGGCATCATTAATTATTGTGTTTCTCAGTTTCATCGTGGGAAGACCAGGTACAGCCATTATGTCACCCAGCTTGTGTCAGGAACCATTACTGGGTCCAGCTGTGCAAATTCAGGACAGAATGTTGCTTCGCACCTGTGGGAAGGCTTTCATGCTACATCTAGAACAGGGCAGTCACTCTTGTAACTAATTTGAATTCACGTTTTTGTCAAACGAGTCCATGTGTGTTCTTTTTTTTTTTTTTTCTTTTGAGGCTGGCTGGTACGGGGATCTGAATCATTGACCTTGCTGTTATATCACTACGCTCCAACCGGTTGTGTGTCTTCTCTTTAAACCACGTGAGAACAGCCCCACTCATGGTCTCTTCAGTTCTTTGAATGCCAGTGTCAGGGCCATGTCAAGTGGGAAGACCATGGCCCTGTTGAGGCTTGGGGACAAAATCCTCTCTTCATTTGGGCCCTCGAGATCATTGTCACCCAAAACACTCAGCGCCTTGTGGCTGGCTTTCCTGGTTTTAAAATTGTGTTTGATAGTCCTCAGATTTGGAGTTTCACTTTCCATTGTAAGTAATGCCTCCTAGCAGGTTGTTAGTTGGTTTTTCAGTGGACTGATCTTTCTAGGACCATGGTAGAGACAGTGACAGTTTTAGAGTAGCTGGTATTTTGTGAGCACACACCGTGAGTCTGATGCTGCTCTGAGAACGTGACTTATGTGTGCTGAAGTATTCGGTCCTCACAGCAGTATCATTGTACTACTGTAGTACCATCAGTAGTGCTGTTAATACTGTGTATATATATCAAGTGTAAGTATAGAAAAAGGGCCCGTAAATATAAATGAATGCAATAGAGGTACTACTATTTTTTATGTTGTCTGTAATTTAACATACTACATAGTAGTAGTAGTAACAGTAGTATCAATACTTCTGCTCACCTTGTGTAAACGTGGGAAAAGGAGGCACTGGGAGGTGAACTGCATTGCTCAGGCTGTAGCCCTAGCAAGTGCAGAGCTGGGATTTCCTTCTCAGGCCAGCTTTGCAGCATTCTGTGATAAGGCCTTTGTGTAAGTGTTCTGTTCTCACCTGGAAGCTTCATAGCATCCACGGCAGGGCACCCTGCAGCTGGGAGTCGTTGGGTGGGGGAGTGGGAGTGTCCTCAGCAGCAGTGTGCCACACGTGAGGCCACGTTGTGTGGTGTGGTGCTGCCTTCAGCACACTTGGCAGTACCAGGTGTCCTGTACCATTGGATGGAATGGACGATCCCAAGTGTACTTTCAGACTCAAGCACATGCATGCTAATACCAAAGACAGGATACAGACTTCATTTTTCTCCTAGTTTCTAACTTTCCAGATCACAACTCCAGCGATAACTCCAGCACATTCAGAGGAGGCTGCCCAGGGTATCATTTAGTAAGAATTACCTGCAAACCTTCCCACTGTTTACTTAGGTCTCTGCGAAAACATTTTTTCATGGAATAGACCCACACGGTGTATGGTTATACTGATCTGATACAGAATTAGTGTTAATGTAGTCTGCACTCTGAAAATCTCTATATCTTTATTTTGTTTTTGTTTCTGCAGATACTGAGCGGCTGTATTCAGTGGTATTTCAAGAAATATGTGATCGCTATGAAAAGAAATACTCCTGGGATGTGAAGTCCCTGGTTATGGGTAAAACGGCGTTAGAGGCAGCACAGATTATAATAGATGTCTTGCAGCTCCCGATGTCCAAAGAGGAGCTGTTGGAAGAGAGCCAGAGGAAGCTAAAGGACGTGTTCCCCACTGCTGCTCTCATGCCAGGTGCGGTCCCCTCAATGCTGTCAGGGTTGTGTTTGGGAATACCAGCATCGTTGTTGACAGTAAGTTTTAAGGTCTGGTGTAGACATGCTTAGTTTGTCTTCTTTTGTCTTGAGTCTCAGAACTAAGTCTCTCTTGGTACTCCCGAGAGAGTTTGGCTGACACTGTGTGATACTATGATTCAATTTTCTCTTTAGGACTTCTTAAAATAATACTAGTTTCACTGATTTCTGGAGTCCAAAAACATTTGAGTTTTGTTTGTACCAATATTCTGTGAAGATTATGTTCAAGACGGAATTGCTTCAAAGTTTCATAGGTGGCTTTACCTTTTTCTTTTCAAAATCAGATATACGATTACTATTTCAGCAACTATTCAAACCTTATCAGATTAATAAGCAGCTAAATCTCCCCAAAAAGGCTTATTTTTTTTCCCTTTGAGTTAAAGGCCTCATTCATTTTTAGTGAATCTGTTTGTATGTCATTCAGCCCTTTCTTTACTTGTATCCAGGTTTCTTTTGAAAGGAAAGACAACTTTGTTCTCTCTCGACATGTTAACTGATGTTCAGTCAGAACTGGATTCCCTGCTGCTTCTTGCTTAAAGTGAGAAGGTAAAGAATATCCTCGATTACAGACCCCAAAATGCTTGAAAATAGACTGTTTGAAGATTCTGTAGGACAATAGTGTGATTACTCTGTCTTTAGAATTCCTGGTGCAAAGGGGAAAAGAAAAAAAAAAAGAACTTATGGCAGTAATTTTGGATTTAAAATTGTATTAATATGAATCATACACATTTTTGAAATATGTTATTGTTTATGTTTATACATGAACATATATCCAAACGTGCAGATTGAACATTCCTGGGAACTAGAGACTATTTCTGCAAGGACCCTGCTAATGGCAGGGCCTGTGTCATGTAGAAACCACATGAGGTACTCTTGGATTAAACATACACACACACGCACACAGATGCAAACGCATACCCTTTGTAATCATTCTCTCTGCATCTGCTGCAAACAGTAGTGTCTGTGGATCTTGGGTGTGGGCACAAACGCATGATACTCAGTTCTCTGCATCTTGTGTCTTTCTGCACCGTTATGGACAATCATATATCATCTTTGGAGAAATATCTGTTCAAGTCCTTTGCCCGTTTTTTAATTTGGTTATTCGTTTGTTGTTTGTTGCTTTGCCTCCCATGGATTTGTCACCCCTTTTCCCCTGGGTGACAGAGCTGCCAAAGATTATTCAGAGCCCATCTCTTCTGAGCAGTGAGATGCCCCAGAAAGGGGTTAATCTCCTCGAACCCTCAAGAGTGAGGAATTCCTTCCATTTGGGAAATTAACCATGAGTTGGGGGTTGTCTTCCTGCATTTATTCTCCAGAACAGCAAGTTACAGGAAGAGCACATAGGTGGGGTTTTTGCTAAGTACAGTTTAACAAGTGTAACAATAGAAGCTGGTAACATTCAGTAAGACAAGCAAGGTGATATTCTATAATGCAAGTAAGTCGATCCACTAACAGAAGCTTGATCTTAGCAAACATTCTCTTCTTACAGCAATTTCCCAGTATCTTTACATGTCAATCAGTAACCTGTCTTTGAGCCAGCAACCTTGCTGTGTTACAATTCTATATCTTACAACAGAAACTTTATAGCCTGGGGAAAATTTCCTGTCCTTCGCAAGGTCAATATTTGAAACTGCAAGGCTTTGGAAAACCAGGCCCTGTGTAGTACATTTGCTTTATGAATACTCCACAGTTGTTGAGTTGTAGAAGTTTTTTATGTATTCTAGATATTAACCCTTATCAGACGTAGGGTTTAGGAACATTTTCTCCCATCCTGTAGGTTGCCTTGTTCCTCTGTTAGTTGTGTCATTTGAGGTGCCTAAGTTTTTTAGTTGATCTAGTCCTATTCATCTATTTTTCCTTTTGTTGTCTGTGCTTTTGGTGTCATTGCCAAGAAATCATCATTGCCAAATCCAACATTGTGAAGCTTTCCCCTGTGTTTACTTCTAGGAGTTCCATAGTTTTTAGGTATTGTATTTAGGTCTTTAATCCATTTTGAGTTATTTTTTGTATGTGGTGTAGGGTAAGGGTCCAACTTCACTCTTTTGCATGTGGATATACAGTTTTCCAAGCACCATTTGTTGAAGAGACTTATCTTTTCTCCATTGAGTTGTCTTGGCCCCCTTGTTAAAGATATTTGACCATATATGTGGGAGTTCATTTCTGAGCTACTTATTCGAGTGGTCTTTATACCAGTACCACACTGTTTTGATTACTGTAGCTTTGTAGCATGTTTTGAAATGAGCAAATATGAGACCTACAACTTTGTTCTTCTTTTTCAAGACTGTTATGGCTATTTGGGGGTTGCTTGAGATTCTACATGAATATTAAGGTGGAGTTTCTATTTCTGTCAAAAATGCTGTTGGGATTTTGATAGGAACTGCACTGAATGTGTAGAATGTTTGCAGTCTATGGAAATCTTGACAATATTTTTCTCCCAATCTGTGAACACAGAATGCCTTTCCATTCATTTGTGTCATCTTTAATTTCTTTCAGCAAAGTTTTCTAGTTTTAGTGTGCAGTTCTTTTACCCAAGTTAGTTTATTCCTAAGTATTTTATTCTTTTTGAAGCTATTATAAATGGGATTGTTTTTGTAATTTCCTTTTTGGATTATTCCTTGATAGTGTATAAGAATGCAACTGATATTTGTTGATTTTTATATCCTACAACTTTTCTGAATTGTTTTATTTGTTCTAACAGTTGTTCTTTTTTTTTTCGGTATTTGTGGAATCTTTTTTATGTGTGGAATCTTTTTTGGTATGTGTGGAGTTTTTTACATATAAAATCATGGCATCTCTGAACAGAGACAATTTTACTTCTTTTTAAATTTGGATGCCCTTTTTTTTTGTCCTTGCCTATTTGTTGTGGCTAGGACTTCCAGTACTATGTTGAAGTGACAAGACTGGGTATCCTTGTTTTGTTCTTCATCTGAGAGGAAAACCTTTCAGTCTTTCTTAATTAAGTGTGATGTCAGCTGTGGACTTTATATTGAGGTGCTTTCCTTCTATTCCTATTTTGTTGACTGTTTTTATCATGAATGAGTGTTAGGTTTTTTCCAAATGCTTTTTCTGCATCACTTGATATGATTATGTGGTTTTTGTCCTTCATTCTGTTAATATGATTTCATATGTTGAACCATTCTTGTATTCCAGGATTAAACCTCACTTGTTCACGGTATTTTTATGCCCTTTGAATTTGCTGTTGAATTCTGTTTGCTAGTATTTTGTTTAGATTTTTGCATCATTATTCATCAGTGATATCAATCCATAGTTTTGCTTTATTATCATATTTTAAATGTTTGGTAAAATTCTTCTGTGAAGCTATCTGGTCCTGGGCTCTTCTTTGTGGGTAGTTTTTATTTATTTGTTTGTTTATTTATTTTACTTTTATTACTGATTCAGTGTTGGTGGTTTGTGTGTTTCTAGGAATTTGTTCTAGGTTATTTCTTCTAGGTTATCCTATTTATTGGTGTATGCCAAGAAACAGAATTCTCCTTTAGTTCTTTTTGTTTCTGTGATATTGTTTGTGATGTTCCTTTTTTATTTCTGATTTCAGTTGAGTTGTCTCTTTCTTACCACTTATTAATGTAGCTAATGGTTTGTCCATACAGTTAGTACTCTTGTGTTTTTTTTTTGTTTTTTTTTTTTGACTAGTAAGGGGATCGCAACTCTTGGCTTGGTGTTGTCTGCACCACGTTCAGCCAGTGAGCGCACCGGCCATCCCTATATAGGATCTGAACCCACGACCTCGGCGCTGCCAGTGCTGCACTCTCCTGAGTGAGCCACAGGGCCGGCCCAGTTAGTACTCTTTGACCTAAAGTCTCTTTGACAGTTTAACATACAAAGCACCCATAATGTACTAGGCATGCCAATGTCTTTTTTCTTCTGTGTGCACCCAAGCCTTTCAAGTGGTTTTCCTTGTAGAATTTTGTCTTGTATTCATTTTAAGATGTACTTGAAATATGTTCAGCTGAAGTTCTAAGAAAATACAATGTTTTCTCTAGCTAGCCTGGTAGTTTAGCTGTAATGCTAATAAAACTATTTTATGGAATCTAGGTGTTGATCCCATCAATGTGGTGGCCTCATTTGGCTCTCCAAATGACCAGGTATCAGATTAAGTAAGGCGCTAATCATAGAAAATCATAGAAGGTGAACAACTAGACAGGAGCCAATTCTTCAAAATAATTTAGTCCCACAGAACTTAGCTGGAGGGCTCTCTTTTCTTTCTCTACTATTTCTGGGCCTTTTCTAGTGGAGAAGGTTAAAGAAGCTATTTAATTATTATTTTTTGATTCTACAAATCTTGTTTCTAGCACAACTTTTTTTGTGTATGTACTTGTATTTTTTGCTAGCCTCCCAGTTGAGGGTAAATACATAACAGCAATACCAAAAGTCTGTCTCTGAAAACATGTGATCATATCTACACACCATGCAGGCACAGCATTAGCTCTTTTGATAGGGAGGTGAGCACGACATGTAAAAGACCCGAGGAGTGTAAAGAAAAGCCCAAGGAATCACTGGAGAGGAGAAACTTAAAATCATGCTGGGCTAGACCACGAAAAGAGGTCAGATGGTGCCACTTTGGCATTCTGAGAGGAGTTAGGATGAGACAAAGTGATGAGAATTGTATTAACCTGAAGGGAAGGAAAATGTTGGACCAAATGTATAGAGTGGAAAGAAAGGCCATGCTCAAACCTTGTGATCCAGAAGCATGTTTTGCCTTAGGGTTTCTGTTCTGTAATGTCACAAAAATTAAGAATACAAAAATGGATCAAGTTAGGACATGCTCTGGTACCTAGTTTTTTCCACTGTGCATTCCTCCTGTCTTCTCTTTTATCTGAGCCAAACCTGAATTCCACTGGAAAGGCGACCCTGTGGCATCGTTGTTCCAGTGAGCATATTCAGAGAGAATTGCCACGTCCTCTTCCAAGGTCTAGGTGTTTGTTTTGCTCGCTTACTTCTCTGTTCCTATTCTTAAACTATGGATGATAATGTAACTCCTGACTTCATTTCTTTTCTTTCTGGAAGTATTTTCTGGTAGGGTATTTTATGTTGTGGAAGTCACCTTAGACTCATTAGGATAGACAGCTGCCTGTAGAGAGGGTGTATTGTTAATTCACTATCGTTCCTTTTCTTAACGCTTTCAGAGTGAGAGCTGTGGCCCAAGAAGGTATTTAGTAAGTTAAATTGGAGGAGTGGTGGTAGGTCACCAGGGAAGCAGCCCCCTGATTGTGCTGCAGGGGCGTGTCTGCCTGGGCCAATCATCCGGGAAGCAGCCCCTGATTATGCTGAAGGGCGTGCCTTTGTTATGATGATGGTACTGGGGCATAGCCTTGCCCTGATTATGGTGCAGGGGGCTTGTCTTTGCCCAACTATGATGCAGGGCTGTTTTTCCTGGGCTGGTCCAACCGCAAGAAGACAGGGCAAACCCATGGGACTTGAAAGCACAGGCAGAACTGACCATGTGCACACGCACA